TCTCGTCCAGGGGGCGGGGGGGGGGGGGGGACTGGATCCCCGCCACTGCACACACTCCTAGCGGGGAGGCCAGGGGGATATATGCTCCCCAGATCTGTGCACGGGGCAGGGTGGGCTGCCCACTGTGGGATTGGCACAGTGCCTTAACCTGATTCTCTCCCCGCAGGGCCTCTGTGGCTCAGCATTTGGGTCCTGGTGCAGCAGGGCAGAGCAGAGGAGGGATGGGCAGAGAAGCTCCTTGCTGCTGTGATCCCCATGCTGCCTTGGTGAGGCACCTCCTGCCTACCCAGCAGCAGTGGGGGCAGTGGCACAGGGCTGTGCTTCTCACTGCTGCCAGGTGGGCAGGGAGTGCCTCACCAGGGTGGCACAGGGCTCATGGTGGTGGCATCTAGCTTCCCTGCTCAGCTCCATTCTGCCCTGCCACACCAGATCTCACCTGATGGGCCATGGAGGCTCCAGGGGGAGGGCAGCAGAGCAGGGAACCTGAGCACACAGCAGGTAGCCTGCACCCACCACTGCAATAGGCTCCACTCCAGCTGTGCCACCCACAAGGGAGAATGAGGGGGAGCCAGGCTCTGCACTCTGCTCTGCCACAGCAGCCACCATGTCCCATGGATTGCAGCTGGGGCTTGGGCACTGCTGTAGGGGGCAGAGGGCTGTGGACCCAGGTCTCTGGCAGCTGGGGGCCCCCTCCAGCAGGGCTCAGGGAGTGGGTGGCTTCAGGTGGAGGGTGAGGGGACCAGCAGGACCCAGGGGGCTGTGGATGGGGAGTGAGGGGCACCTGCAGGGCCCAGGGGGTTGTGGATGCAGAGTGAGGGGCACCATCAGGACTAGGGAGCTGTTGCTGGGGAGTGAGTGGCACCAGCAAGGCCAGGGCTTGGGAGTGAGGGGCCTGGACCTGCATCCTGGTGAGCAAAGAGGGCAGGGGTAGCTCTGATTTTCCATCATAAAAAAACAAAAATCAAATACCAAAAATGTATAGGTATTTAGAATTTATATTTTTATAGTGATTGAGGTACTGGCAGGCTTCCAAATTGATTTAAAATTGTAAACATATCAAAAAAGCATTATGTTCAATTAATACCTATATATATATATATAGTGGCATTTTTAAATCAGAGAATTTGCAATTTTTAAACAGAAAACTAGGATTCCTACTGATAACTAGTAGGTGAACATACTAATTACAATTGAGGGTAAGATTTGCAGAAACAGATAAACTAAAGGAACTCAAAGTGTGTGATATTTATTTGAGGCAAAAGTGAATCAAACCAAGAATGTGGCACTTTTTAATTATACCTTATTATTTGAAATAAAAAGTTTAGTCCTAATGTAGCATGTTGAGTTTTGCAAAATTCTGGCTTATTCATTTTGGGGAATGTTGGCTAAAATCATTCACTCATATTAAAAAAGAAAAGAAAAGAAAGGAGCCACGAGAAAGATTGCTGAAGTCTGCTTGATTCAGAAAGAAACTATCCACCTACTGAAACCATGTAGAGTTAGGGTCTACCCCAACAATAAAATCAGTAATTTCAGGGAAAGAGGTTGTGTTCAGAATTCCCTAGTTACTTGAATTCAAGTTCATTATAACAAGTCATCTATTTGTGTTGACTTTGGATACAGGGTATGTCTATGTACCATAGACCTGTACCATATTTTCACCCATCAGCTTCTGATAAACTCAGAAATATGCTAGTGAAGCTGTTTCAGGGTGTCCCCTAGAGCTGCTTCTAAGCCTGCCAGACTGACATCTCGGGTGTTGCCATGGAGTGCCCCCAGAGTGACTTCACTGCTAGAATTAAGGGTTTGGGCACATTTGGGAATGTCAAGGGTGGGCGAGACACACTGGGGAGCATGTGCCCCGGCAGAGGCAGAGGCAGAGGCAGAGGCAGGGAATAGACCTACTTCATATAGCTTAATATAGCATCTCCTGAACTTTTTCTAATCGTATCCTGACTTACAAATGGATAACTTGATATGGCAGTAACTGTTCATGGGCCTACAATTAATGGGCTTGCTATGCCTCAGCTACTTCATAATAATGATACCTGTGAAAGTCTTACCTCATGGTAAGAGTTAAACTAGGACAGCTTATGCCTGAATGAAACACAGTAAGCTTTCACTTATAATGGTGTATTTGGGGGCATAAGGATCAGTAATTTAACTGATGGCTGGCAACTGGGCACCTTCGTGGGGGAGGCACAAAAGCAGCCATTGCTTCAGCAGCAACTGAACATGCTACTGAAACTGGCATGGCAGGAGCTGGCATCATCGTGGGCACCCAGTGGCTGCCTCAGAAGTGAAGCTGTGCTGCTGTGCTTTGGACAGGGGTGGTTACTGAAGAGTACCTGAAGGAGAGAGAAAAGTAATTCTCTACCTCCTGTGAATTGTGGGCACACAGGGTAATTGGGGGATTGGCTGAAAATTAGGGTCTTCCTGGGGCTCATGACCCCACCCTTTGTAAATGCTGTGATCCCATTTGAGGTTACAAATCTTAGTTAATTAACCAGTAGCTGAAAAAGATACTTTGGATCTATTGACTGTTTTCAAAACTGCATTTTTCAAGGTAGGCACCCAATCCAGACTTTTAGGTATTAGCTTTAATGGGAGTTCCTGAGAGTGTGTATCTTTTGAAACATCATGCCACATATGTAAGCACCAAAAAAAGGCTTCAGGAATCTACTGCCATGCACCTTTAAAAATGCCCTAGTTGACAAGAAAAGATTCTATGCGATAGTCAACATTTTAAACATGTGCCTGGTCATGCTTGTGTCACTATATAATATATAGATATTTTATGAAATTAGTTTACCTACTGTCTTTTGGTTATGAATGGCAATCTCAGTGCCTTGCAACCTTACATTCTTTGCATCATTTGCTGTAGTCTTCTGAATGTCATGTTATTAAAGAAATGCATCTGCCATTGTACGTAGCCCTTTTCAGAAGGCCTTTCTCACAAACAGTCATTTTCAAGTAAGAAATAAACAGTCAAAATACAGCTTTCTTTTTAAGACTAAAAATATGAACTTACAAAATTTTCTCTTTGCATGTGGTACTTTAAATAGATGATTGTTTTACAAAACTGATTATTTGTGTTAACTGAAAAAAAATTCTATTTGTATTGTATTCCTACAATATATCAAAAGCAGCTAACACCCATTTAATTTTATAAGTATATGTCCCTAATTCACATGGGCTAGGGACAGACATTACACATAAGCTGGTTTAAGTGATCAGATACTTGTTTAAACTTGTAACAGAACAGATGTCCAGTGCATATAGATCAGTTTGAGAATGGCTGAATCGGGTTTGAGATAAACCTGGTTAAAAATATGATCAGTTTTAATTGATTTGGCTTAAACTTGTTTATGCAATGTCTGTCCCAGACTCCTTGCTGGTTTAAATAAAATCAGACTTCCCCAGCATCCTGTCATGCTCTCTGGGATGGGCAGAACTCTCTGCTCCACAGCAGGGATGCCCCCTCCCCTCTGCTCCCTAGCTGAAGCTTGGCAGTTTCTGCAGGCATCTGCCTGACTTCTGCTCCACCCCCACTCTGCTAAGCAGGCATTCTCCATCCCTCACAGACACCTCAGCATTAACTAGCAGACCACATGCTGGCTACCTCTGAGCTGTGGCACATGGAACAAAGGCAGAATCAACAGATAGCTGGTAATGTCCCTCTGTTTTCTTAATGGGATTAACATTCTTCGCTGGGCTGTTCAGGAGCGGGGGCAACCCTCCCTAATCTCAGTGTCTTAGCAGGGCCTGGCTATGCCCCCCTCAGCTCAGCGCTGTACAAGGGAAGGGAGGGCTGGTCTAGTGCTCCCGGCTTCTAGTTTGGGCCACTTCAGGCATCTGCCTGCATTTCTGGAATGGCTGTCTGGTTACAAAACTGATTTAGCCTAGCCAGGTTAGGCTAACCTGCAAAGATTTTAAAAATTCAGGCTCAGGCTTTTTGAATGTCTGTCCCTGGCCATAGGGTCAGATTCTACTCCGTGTAAGCGGAGTTAGGAGCCTAAGTGTGGTTTTACTTCCATCCTGCTCAAGTCCCTGAAAATCCATTAATGCATCCACTTTTCTAACAAATCAATCACAAAAAAGTAGTGGGGAGGAGGAGGGCCTGCCCATGTTTTGCTTTAACTAATTTCAAGGCACTTGACCAGGTTAGAATAGAAGTGCAATTAGGCACCTATTTACATGCCTAATGGTAGAATACAGCCTGGCCCATAATGTGTCAATGTACTTTAATTTTCCTTTCTTAGATTAAACAAGTGAATTCTGCCAGAGATAGAGAAAGAAGGAGGGACAGTTATAATACTCTATGAAAGAAGTAAGTTCTGGATAAGTTTGTCTGTAAAACTGATTTCATTTTAGATTAGAGTGACCAGACTTTTGAGGTACTGAAATGTAGAATGAACACTGACCAATCATGGACGTGGCCTTTTGTTTTGAACTTTATAACATGGTGTAAAATGAGTACAGCAATGACTACACGCTAAAAAAGGTAAAAACAGTATGGCAAGCATTAAAAATATAAATAATTTAATATCTATTACAAACCTGAATGTAAGAAGCAAAAATGAAGCTATAAATAAGCATACCTTTTCTTTTAGTTTTTAAATATAAACATTATATGTGGGCAAGAACTGTCAGAAACTGGTTCTAAAAGTTCAGCACTTGAATAAAAATGGCATTATACTCCAGACTTGCTGAACAGCATATGTTTTTTCAGAATTGTTGTCAGTGCTTAGCACCTCTGAAATCACGCCACTTTTATTCAAGGGAATGATTTTAAGAATTCATATTTGGAAATGTTGGCCAAGCTCTTTCAACATTTAGTTTTGTGTGAGAGTCATGGTATGCACCTGGGGGCAATTTTTTAATTTTAAACATAGACAAAAATGCAAACTGCAGCAATCTTCTCTCCCCAGCCTGCCAAAAAATTTATTGTCTCACTTATTCTTGTAATATCTCTCTTTTGTGTTCCTGCAGCCTCCTCCTTTTTTACTTCTGTCTATCTGCCCTTACTTCCTTCTGCTCCTCCAAAATAGTATTAAAAATCATTTTACTCTGTTACTGAACACTGGAGCTCTATTCCTTTTGTTTGGATAGAGACATAATTACTGTATCATCACACACCAAAAATATCACTTTTGCAGGTGCCCTAGTTCTGGAAAAAAATGATACTAAAATGTAGGTATTTTTTTTCTTACTTTTGCTTTCAAAGCACCAGCAAAATAGAGTAAATTAACTTTTATTTGCATGAATATTTGCAAACATATAGATCTCCATATAAAACAGGGCATAGTATGTTTGAAGATGGTAACTCTTTTTATTCAGCCTTTTTAAAAAGCCTAAATCATCCTGAGAATTTTTTTTAAATATTTGCCTAGGAGTAGGTTTCTCAACTTAGGCACTGACCTGATTTTCAGAAGAATTATCTGACCCATGGTATATTTAATAATGAAATAAAAAGCCATGATAGAAAAACATGAGTGACCTTAAAGAAGGAGTAAATTACTTAAGATGATATTCAAGTTGTCAGTGTAACCAAGACTCAACTCAAGTATCTTGCTTACATTTTGCGTTCATTACCTTGTGTATATATAGAAAAAGGAGACTAGTATAGAGAAAACTGAACAGTGTAGATAGAGCTGTGTTTAGATACTAAAACATACCCAGACAGTTTTGGAGAGACAGACCCTCTCCTATAATACTCCTGTCTTGCAAATCTGTGGCATTACTCATATGCACAAAGTTATATTTAGAGGATCAGGACCTAAGGTTGAAGTCACCTTTCTTTATGAAGTCTTATTTTTGCTGATTTTTGACGTTCAGCTGGAAAATTAGTTTGGAATAAAAATTATCAGGTACATGCCAGAAGCAAAGAAGAATGTTTCTGCTGATTCTGCAAGATGAAAGAAATTATCAAATGGCATGTGGCATACTGAAATGTTGACTTTAGTCTCGTGTTTCTGTCACAGTTACTCAAAAATAGCTCCCAAGTTACAAGGAAAACACATAGGCTGTCTATATGAGTAAAATAAGTTGTAATGATTCAGAGTAATATGCGATTAAGATGCAAATATTATAAGACCAGGTCCTTTTCTTGCTGATGTCAGGGGGAATTTGTTGTTGCTAACTGCAAGAAGCAGTAGAACAGTACAATGTGTGCAATTTTTGAAGTTTTTCTGTAGACTAGGTATTCAGGTACTTTATCAGAGTGTGCTCATTTGCTTCTTCCATGTAGTGTTACAGAAGAGTTTGCCTTCAGGAAGAGAGTAGGCTTTTTGTAAGTGATCAGGAACAGTAATTTTCAATAGTAATTTTCTTCTTAGTTTGACAGTTTCAAATATTAAACAAAAATAAATATAAAAATTTGCCTCAGTGAAAATAAAAGAAAGATCTGCAGAGCATAATAATTTGTATGCTATTATTATCTATACGTTTTAGGAAATAGCTGTAGTGGAAGCTATCAGTTGAAAGATCTCTTGGGTTTTGACATTTAAAATTTTTTTAAAAGGTATTTATGGGATGTTTCACCTGCATACTCACACTCATGCACATTTTACAGGAAACACTGCCTTTTCTGCCCTTACACTTGAGCCCATTTTCCCTTTAATTTTTAAACTTTTAATTGCTAAATGGATTGATATTGGAGCTAAGCAGGTAGTTCTGAATGAATACTGTGCTTGATAAATTTTGTATTATCCTGAGCTGGAAGATTTCTATAATCTTCCAAAATTTCTAAGTGCTCCATGATAACTGTACTTTAGGGATGCATTTTGTCCAAATAAATTTATACACATTCAGAAATTATTTTACCTTTTCATTTCACTTTACGTGGTCTTAATTTGTTCCTAATTATCACATACTTCTTTTTATCTTGTTAAAGACAGATTAAAAACAGAAATTTAGCTTCTCAGCCATTACTGAGATATTATTAATTTAGTCTCATTTGATTGATTTCTAGTACTTTGTGGCTTTGATCCTTTTAAAAGCACTTATTTCTGTAACCCTCTTTGAAGAGAATCAAGTAAAGTTTAAAAATATATGTCACCTTCAAAACAACTTTCTTCTTTTCCCATTGCTCATCTTCAAATTTTTACCCAACTTTGACATTTATTTGCAAAAATTCTTCTGCTGGATTTATTAGACATACTTGATCAGGGTCTGCAGGGTGACACTTCATTTTTTTCCTTTGTGTATCAACAATTTAGTATATTAATATTATGTGTGCAAAATATTAAACTAATAACTGTAATATTTGCGTTTAGAACATCAGTAGAGGTTAACTCCCGTTATAGATATGACTTTAGGACTAAGTAGACCTAATTAATGAGGAAAATATGTTATTTTAATATTAGATATTGTCATTTGAGCACAACAGGAATATCTTGTTGTGTTGCAGAGCTGCAGAACTCTTTCAGTTTCAGGACAACTCTACAGGTGTTGTTTCTGGTGTAGTTTGTTTTTTCGTTCCTAGTTTAAGCAGTTGGAGGAAAGGCCTAAGCAGATTGTCATAGCAAAGATTTAATGTACTAGGGGAGAAATGAATCCCTTGAGACAGAGAAGTTGCATATTTGCATATGAATTTTGGAATGATAAGCTATGTGCTAAAATTCTGTTGAACTTTGTGCTTATTAAGGTTATGGTCTAAATATAATATATTATTGAACTGAGAAGGATTTTCAACTTAGCCCTACATCACTTATGGCTTGTCTCAAAGGAGAAACATAGGCTAGAAATGTTCGTATTTCTAAAACCAGTTTATTATTTTAAGAATTGCAGTGGGTGCAGAAAAACTACATTCACTGTGGGTACATACAGACATCTGGGGGGTTAAATTGCACTAAAAATGGCCACCCAATGTAACTTCGTTCAGTCAGATGCCCTACACTTAGGTCTCTAGTTAGGTCTATCTAAGTGCAAACTGTACAGAAGATCAGGAAGTTTAGATCAGTTTAAAAATTGCTGACCCAGTCTAAGTTAACTGTACGTCAGATGTAGTCTAATTCAAATTGGGTCTGGAGAAACTGATCTAACTGAACAGCACAGCCCTGGGTCTGGGAAAGCCCAGCCAATAGTCCCAGCCCCAGGGCTGTGCTTTTCCTACCTCCCCTGGCACTGAGCTATTTTTAGCTCCCCAGACCCTTGCCCCACCCCTAGATGGACAACACCCATCCACCGTGGACCAACCAGCTCCTCCAAGACCACCAATTCCCCCATCCCCCATCCCACAAGTTGCTCCTAGTGCTGATTTTACCAACTTTCACTGGTGCTGGGAATCAAGGAAGTAAGGTGGAACTGGGGGGAGAGGCAAGCAGGATCAGGGGGTTGGTTTGCTGGGAGGTTGTTTTGTTTCGAGCTGTGGAGAGGAACCTGGGGAGTCAGACATCAGGCAGGTTATAATGTGTCATAAATCTGATGTCTATATTTAGTCCATGATTTTTTGTATCCAGGAGGTTGATGAGATGAAGTTCATAGGCTCATTTCTGAGAAGTGTTTTGTAAGTTTCCTTTGAGGATTAGAATTGAGAGCTTGGCGAGAGAGTTGTTTTCTTGTGATAAATGTGCCCCCACAGGTAATTGGGTATCCTTGTCTTTGATAGATTTCCGGTGTGCATTTATTCTGGTGCGCAGTTATTGTTTGGTCTCTCCTACGTATTTTCCATCAGGACATTTGGTGCATTGAATGAGATATATAATATTTCTGGAGGTGCAGCTGTGAGATGCAGGGATGCTGATGGCTCTTTTGTGGGATGTAGTAATTGTGGGGGTGGTGTAGATGTGTTGGCAAGTTTTGCATTTCTTGTCATGGCATGGTCTGGATCCATTTGATATGTTCTGGGCTTGAGGAAGTTTGCTTCTGGTGATGAGGTTACTGAGGTTCGGAGCTTGTTGGAAGGCTAGGGTGAGTGGTTCTGGGAAGACCTCTGTAAGAATAGGGTCTCTTTCTAGCATGGGTTGCAGTTGTTTGAGGATTTTCCATATGGGTTTGAGGGAGGGGTGATATGTCATAACCAGCAGTGTGAGATTTTTTTTTCCAGCTATTTTTTTCCAATTATTTAAGTTGGTTTAATAAAAGATATCAGATTCAACCATAGACCCTTGTCTGCCTATGTCCTTAGAACAACACAGCTACAACCTACACCCCTGTATATACCCTAAGTTTCCACATATGTGCATTTGCATGCATACTCACATAGATATCAAGGATTGTTTAAAGCACACCAATCATCTAGGCAGCTTCTGCCAGCTACCTCCTCCATTCTTCTGAGGTATACTGACAGGCTGGTTAGAAGTAGATTAGCTTAAATGAGAGATTGGGTTTATCTATGCCAGTGGTTTTCAACCTGTGGTCAGCAAATCCTTGGGGGTTCACAGACTATGTCTACAGAGTCCATGAAAGATTACTATGATCAATCAAAAGTATGTGACTACCCATACTTAGAATTCAAAAGGGTCCATATCTCCATTTAAAATTTCCAAAGGGGTCTGTACCTCCATTTACAATTTTTTAGTTATCTGCAAATTAAAAAGGTTGGAAACCACTGATCTATGCTCATCAAGAGACTAAAAACCCATTGGATTAAAAACCCATTGATCCTAAACTGTTGCTCTATCACTTTACAAGCTTTTTTCTGTATAGTTTACAAACATTTTCAAATATCTTTGGGGTAAGTAGTTATGAGAAAAGGCTGCAGTACAAAGCACTGAGACAAGGGAAGGGTGCTGGGGGCAATAGCAATGCGGGGCAAACTGCAAGGCGACAGGAGCAGGGGTGTAAGATTCTGGATATGCCCTGTTTATTCTTCTTCTCTGCATCAACTTATTCTGTGAGATAGGATACTGACCTAGAAGGGCCTGCAGTCTCACCCAGTAAATGGTAGCTCCTATGTCCTTAAGAGCTAAAGGAGGCAACACTACTCATTTTTTTTATCCTAAGTTTTGTGATAATTGGCATTTGTCTTAAATTTCAAGTTCCTGGAGTTACTTATATGAGACTTTCAGCTTTAATATTTTTAATTATGTTTTTAAGCCCTTGTAGTTACGGAGAAGTCTGACCTGACTGTATGGTAAATGCTGAAGAACCACAATGCAAACAAAAGAACCACAAGACAGTGTTTTCCCTACCCTTACTCCTCTCTTCTGTCCCCCACCTCCACCTGCCCAGTCATGATTCTTAAATCAAATTCATGATTTTCATGGACCTGAGCCATGATTTTTTAATATGTTTTCTTCAAAACAACTCAGCAAATTCCTGCTTGGGAATGTTGGAGGGAATGTATGAATGTATTTGAAAGTGGATATTACAGTCAAGGGAAGTAGAGAAAGTGAACTGCTTGGACAAGAGAATTGCATATGTGAAGGGGAAGAGAGTTAGTTGGTAATAGAAGAGATTTGCAAACCCTTGGGACTTTATTAAGAGCTATACAGCAGCTAGGGAGAAGCAGCAATAAGACATGAATGTAAAATTAACAAATATTGCAAAAAAATCCTATACTGTCAATGAATAAATAGAATTAAAGGGATTTGCTGGATGCTTTCATAACACGCTTGTTGGCAATAGTTTTTTGCAAATGGAAGTTGCATAGCTTCACCATGGTTTCTAAGGGCCTTGTGGAAAAAATGTGGAGAAATCTATTTATTTATATAATTGGACATTTGGGCTTTGTGTGGAGGTGATGAAGAATATTGAGTCAGAAATTAATACTTGGTAATAATAATTTATTTCTATCTTTTCTTAATCAACAGTATAGGTTAGAAAGATGGAGAGAGATTGCTTTGCTTTTCTTGCCAGTATGTCAATGATAGTAAGATAGAACCTGAAGAGACAATCAAAACCAACTTGTAGTATGATACTGATATTCCCTTTGGACAGATAACATGAATAGATAAATACTTACTTGCAGGATAACAGTACTGGCATATGGCCACCGGAAGGTGCTTAACGGTATCACGTTGCTAAAAGTCTTACTAGATAGTCCTTTGATATAGAAGCACTGCTAGCTTTATTTCCTCTGAATACATTTGTGAATCAATTGAGACCTGATATATCTTTGATAGTAGCTGCCTGAAACATAAATAATAAAAGATTTATGGTTTACAAGTGCTAACATCTATAGGAAATCATTACTTTTCAACAAGAAGCTGTCTTTTCAAATGAATACACTTCCACAGAAGACACCTGTTTCTTTTTTTCTGGTGCCCACTTATTAAAAAAGATGGGTTCCCTTCTTCACCTGAAAGTCAGGCAGAGTGGACAAGTATCCTACATAACTCTTGCAAATAACTTATTTTATTCTGTATTCATTATTTCTTCCTGAAAGTTAAAGTGATGCTATTGCCCTGTGCAAAAGGATGCAGCACCATCTTATACTCAGCTTACCAACCTGAAAACTTTCTTTACCCAGCAAGGATGTTCCACCAGAAATAGAAATAAATCCTATTTTTATTGTACCTTTGAATGAACCATTTAAAATAATCCACTACAACATGAAGAGAAAGCCCCCACTGACCACACAGCTCCAGTTGTTACTTATCATCCCACACTAGAACCTGTAAGAAGGATTATCCAACAATTACAGCCTTTAGTGGAAAAAGATCAGACCTTGAGAAAAACAGACCCAATTCCATTTGCTCCTGGCCTTCCAACAACTCCAAAACCTAGCCCAACTCATCAGACACAAACTCCTCTCTCATCAACAGACATCTAATGAAAACACAGCCCTGCCTTAACAAGAAGTGCAAAACCATGCATTTCCTCTGCCACCACAATCAGCCCTCTGCAACAAAACCATCAGAATGCATAGCTAGAGATGTAAAATTTTTGGAAATATTGAAGCCATGGAAAAACCCCATCATCCTGTCCCCTCCCATTTTTTTTCTGGAAAAAAATGGAAATTTTGGGAAAAATTGAAATACATGCAGTCCTTATTTTCTTAACACCCTTTACAGATCTAAATTCACTTTGCTATGTTAAGAACATAAAATGTATTATGTATAACTTGGTTTGCTCATAAAATAACATGTTTGGTATATTTATTGAATTTAAAGGAATAGTTTATTCAGACAATAATTACAAATTTACTAATTGAATTTACTTTAAAATGTTTTTAATTTTTGTTACAAATGGAGCTACAAGCTGCTGAACTCTAAAGAACCTAGCATCTCTTAATTTTTGCCAATTTATGAGAAGGAGGCAAAAATTAGTTGAAAAAAGAAGAAACCATCAACATTATAGTAAAACAAAGGATGTTATTATGTATTCTGGACTTAGTGTCCTCCACAGTGTCAAGCAGATACAGAAAGGACTCAGTTTTAGAAAAAGAGCTGAGAAAAAAAGAGAATTAAAACCAAGACTCATTGAATACAATTTTTGCTACATGAAACTTTGCCTAATCAGTCTCATTTTCTGAGCTATCACTGTCAGCAGTTTCTGCTTCTTTTGATCCTTCATTTTTATCATCTTCATGGACTTCTGAAAACAGAAGGTTTGCCTGGATTGAGACAAGCTTCTCTACTCTTTCACATGTTAGTTTATTTCTTGATTTGGTGTGAGTATTTCCAAACATAGACTAGTTTCTTTCACATACTGCAGCAGATGGAGGAATCTGAAGCAGGTGAGAAGCAAGAGGAGTCAGAGGCTGTGTTGTGCAAAGGCCTTGCCACAATGTTGCAGGAGGGACGTGCTGGCAGTCACAGACTGCGTTCCTGGACCAAATACCTGAAGATGTTCTGTATTCTGCAACCTTTGAAGGTACTTTCCCAACATCAAGTCCTAAGTGTGTTGCTTGTTTTGCAATCCAGTGAAACACAGTAGCAGTGCTATTATCACTAACATTTCTGCCTTTGAATTTTGGATTCAAGAGATTTGCAACAGCATGAATTGATGGGCAACAAAATTCTTCCCATCTATTAATAAAGTCTTTCACTTTTCTTTCTTCTGTACTTGTAAATGGAGATACATTTAGATTCTCAAAAATAGTTGATTTTATCTGGGCTATTTGGTAAGGAATATCTGACAACGTGCACTGTCTAATTCAGATGCAGTGATTGCTGAAGAAATTGGCTTTAGAATCTTCAGGGAGTTCTGCAACTGAACCCAGAAGACATCCTCATAAAGTACGGTGTTCCTTACACTTCTGGGTACTTCAAGATCCTCAGTTATTACTGTTTTTTGAAGAGCTTCTTTGTTTTTTAGTAGACTTTCAAATGAGATCACCACTCCACCCCATCTTGTTTTACTATGGTTTGAGTGTCACTAATTTATTCTTTGCATTCTTTTCTTCCTGCTTCTTCTTAAAGACTACAGCTACAATATGAGTAGCTTTTACATGTTTCATAACTTCTTTTGCTCTTCTATAGATCTTTTGCAGAGTGTCCAACTTCATGATGTCATTAAGAAGCAAGTTTAGCCCATGGGATGCACATCCTATTGCAGTAATATGTGGATAATTATCTAGTATGATCTCCAATTCTGCTTTCATGTTGCTTTCATTCTCAGTCAACAAAGCAAATACGTTATTACTTCCACTCTTCTGTAGGAATTCACGTATTTTACTACTGATATACTCTGCAGTATGCCTGTTCTCTCCTGTTTTAATGCTTCTGTAAAGAACTGGTTGAGGTGTTGTTATCACAAAGTCGATGTTTCCTTCTCTCTGCACATTTGTCCATCCATCTGTAAGTACTGCAAGACACAGTGCTTTGTTGATTTTTCCTTGCACAGATTGTATTACACGTTCATACTGTGACTCTAAAAGAAGCTTGCTCAAAGAATGTCTGCTGGGCAAGCAGTACGATGGTCTGAGTAATTTAAAAGCTTCCTGTCAGTATGCATTTTCAGTTTTTGACAATGGTGTCCCAGAAGAATATAATGCCCTTGCAAGAGCTTGGTTAATTTTTCCTGATCTTCAGGTGTCATCTTGTCTACAAATAAAGCTATTGGGAGTCTGTCTACAGTTGATTGCAATATTTGGTTACTGGAGGATGTTGATTGGGCAACCCTTTGTGATGCTGATGTTACAGAAGAAGACAAAGAAGAAGCAGCAGCAGTAGAAGGACTTCTGGGTCAAGAACATTGAAAAGAGCTACTTGCACTTTCATCATCATGATCTACCTCCTCCTGACTTCATAGATTTCATAGACATTAGGACTGGAAGGGACCTTGAGAGATTGAGTCCAGGCCTCTGCCCCAGGGGCAGGAAGTCAGCTGGGGTCAAAGGATCTTACACCCATGAAGGATTTTTTAATGTCTGCAGGACACTTCTTACATACAAGGATCTGTTTGGTCATCCTAGTAGGATTTGGAAATGCATATTTCATTTGACAGTATTTGCAAATCACTTTTTTTTTCTCGGAATAATTTGCAGTGTGGAAATGCTTCCATATGTTAGAAGTTGATTGCACCAGTTTGCTGAGGGAGAAAAAAGAAGAATGTAATTTAGTGGCTAGCTTGCATATATAAGCACTAAGCTACAGCACATGGGCGACTGGTGCCTTCCGAATCTGGGGGGGCACCAGATCACTGATGGGGGGGCGGTCCACCAGCAACTGATTGCCAACTGGGGGGGGACCCAGCAGCCAATTGTGGGCTGGCAGGGGGGCATCCCCCAGTGGCCAATTTCTGAGCCAGTGGCGAAACTGGAAGTACCAGCAGCACTTCCACCAGCACTTCCGGTTTCATCACTGGGGCTTCTTTCAGGGTGAGGGGGCTTTTTGGAGTAATAAACATGATTTTTGTTCTCTGTTATTTTGCTCAAGCTATGTCTGCGTCTCCCTGAGACATGAAGAAAGGCATTTTGTGTTCAAATTTTGTGTGACCTCTCTCAACTATATGGTTTGTTCAGGAAAGGGTAACACAAAACCCTTCCCCTCTGTGGAGAAACTAATTGGTTGTGTGTGATAGGGGGCAGGATAGATGGCTCCACCCTTCTTTTTAAATCTTTTCTGTTGTGCCTTTGATGTTATTTTGGAGAGCAAGGTCTGCAGTGCCATTCTAGATTGTCTGGCTTGCCACTCCTGTTATATCAGTACAGCTGAGATGGATGTTCTGTACTCTCAGTACATCAATATATCCTGCAGCTTTTGGAGCATATTCCCAACAGGCTCTGTACCCCCCTTCCTGCTGTCCCAGTGCACAGTCCAGAATTGTACCTCAGAGTCTCCAAAATATAATGGATTTTCTAAACTCCTGGCTCTTCCATAAATTTCAGGCCTGACTCACACATTTGGCCCTTGCATCTCTGCAGCCCACTCTATAATCCCCTTTGTAACTTGTCTTACCTTATCTGGACCAACTGTCTTGTCATGCCATTTGGGATCAGGAAAAAGTGTGGGGAGCCCAGGATCATCCAGCTTCACCAGACCCCAGCTGGCTATGTGATTTCACTCAACAGGCTCTTTTAAGTTAGAGCTGAGCTCTCACAACTCCCTGGCACATTTCCATATTCATGTCTACTCAAAATCTCTCATTTAGCCTTTGCAATGTAGGCAATGCTATGAGGATCCACTTTTGTTTCACGTCATGTCTGCTGCGTACTGCTTTGCAGAAAGAGCTCAATATTCTGGCCAGCTGCTCTCCAGTCTTCCTGGCCTTCTCCTGTGACCTACTGTTCTGCAGACCCTGGGCTTTTGTCTATCAAACTGAACTGCCCAGTATCATATTTCTGCCACTCTGGGACTTGCTGACTGCCTCCTCTAGCCTCCTCTTTACATACTTTTAGCAATGTGGCTAGAGCCATAAAGGTCCCTTTAAAGGGATCTTTTACCTTCCTTATTATATCTCACAGGACTCTCACTCTAAGGTGACTTCAGGGGACTATGATATAGAGGTCATGCTGTTTGGGCAAATCTAACAATTACTTACACCTAGGTACATCCTATGATTCCTGATAAAGAAACAGACTTCAGAATAGAATGCATATTGGAAGGCTTTTAAAAATATGAGCAGAAAAGAGTTATAAATCAAGTTAGACAGAATAACCTTTTCCATGCCAGCTGTAATTTGCTACTTTGGGAGTTTTAAAAGTGTAAACATTGAGCTTTATGCATCAGTATTGAATCAGAGTACATCCTAGCTATGTTAGATAGATATATCGGACATCACATGGAGGTCAGGAAACTTTTTAAAAAGAAAATGTTTAAAAAAAGAAAGATACCGAAGTATATAATCAGAGAACCAATTTATTCATACCTAAAAGATAGCAAAGTGATAAGGATAGCCAGCATGGATTTGTAAAAAGCAAATCATGCTTAACCAACCTGATTTCCTTCTATAACAAAGTTAAAACATCACCAGGGATCCTGGTTTTCCCTGATTAAAAAAAAAATCCCCAATTTTCAGATTAAAAAAAGTAAGCCAAAATCCACAGCTTTCCATGATCAAAATGAAACACCACTAATATGTACTGATATATTAGTGGTGTTTCATTTTGATCACGGAAAAATGTAATCCAAAATGTAACCCAAAATCCACATTTTTCTGTGATCAAAATGAAACACCACTATATATGCCTACATATTAGTGGTGTTTCATTTTGATCATGGAAAAATGTGGATTTTGGAATAAGTTTTTCAATCCAAAAATTGGTTGTTTTTTTTTTTTATTAGAGAAAACCAGGCTCCCCGAACATCACATAGCAGGTGCATCAACGCCTTCATTAATGCACTTTTACTACTGTGCATTACATTTAGTACCTCTAATGTGAGGTACTGAATAAATGTCCATTGGGTTGCCCTAATGCAAAGTAGCAAAAGTACATGCTTTTTTAGTGAGGCTTAATGCTCAGTAGCCAAATGTTACTACACAGTAGTGTATTAGCATGTTTTTTTAGATGATTCTCTAATGTGCAGTAAAATAGGCTACTGCACATTAAAGTGCTTGTGTAGATGTGCCCTGTATTATTCAAAATACATGAGGTTGGAACCCTGGCTTGGAGCCTAGGTGTAGGGAAGGGATGGAGAGCAGATGGAAGGAGATAGTCCTGGGGCATACAGCATTCACTGTGTAATCTGTAAACAAAACAAAAAAATTAAAAACTATCTCAATGCAGCAAACTGTATACATTATCAATGAATTTTTAAACCAAGCTAGAGGAAATGTTGTATGAAAATTACATCACTCCCAAACAACAGTAACTTGATAACTGGCATTGATGTGCCAATTTATGTGGCTTTTTAAAAAGATCTTTCCTGTTTCTTTAAAAGTAAAAAGAATAAAATTCCATTTCCATATTTGAAATCTGCAAAAATACACAGTGGATGCATCTACTTGTGCAATTAATGTAAAGTAATAAACTCCAGAGCAGTCTGAGCTGAAGTAAACTGCTCATGGGCGCAGCATCCATACATGTGCCTGGGACAGCAGCAATTTGAGCTGGGATGGAGCAGACCCCCAGCTGGCTGGGCTGACTGGGTGCAGTTTATGCACATGGTTGGCATCTATACTTTGTTTCAATTACAGTTCATTAAATCTAGTACCTGTAAAAACAGGTACTAACTTAATGTGTTACAGTTGGCACTACTGTGCAGTAGTAATGGTGTATACTTTTTTTTGTGATGCTGTACACTTTTTTTTGTGATTCTATGTAGCAGACTAATTCTACTGTGCATTAGCACATTAGCATGGTTTTTGCTTGCTGCACTAATGCACAGTAGAATTAGTCTACTGCACATTTAGTGTCTCATGTAGATGTGCCCAGTTTGTGTAAAAAGCTAGTGTCTGTATAGGTTAGCAATGTCTTAAATATTGTACTGCTTTCTCCAGATCATGGTCTATGTATGATCAGGAAAAATGGCAGATAGCAGATTGTGTAGCTTAAAGTCAATATTATGACTTTATAAGGTCTGTTAGACTTGAGAGAGTTCAGCTGCCCCTGTCACCATGATAGATCAGGGGCAATATTTTTTAAAGAGGACTGGAAGCTTTACTGCTTATTGGCATATGAATGAAATTACCTAAAGAATCTAGAACTTGCCTGTTACCCTGTGGAATCCAATATCTGCACTGAATAATCTTCAGATGGAATTGTTTACTGCTCCTGTGCACCAGCTGTCACTGTTAAAGAGAAATGGTGCTCATTTTTTGAGAAAAATATGTTTGCCAATTTGATCTGTATCATATCAAATACTCTTGAGTCTAGGTATAACATTAAAAGATTACCTTTATTTTCCTCTCTAAATAACAGTGTATTTATTCTTTTCTACTGCAGTCAGGAATGTATTATGTTGCATCTTCTGATATGTTAAGGTGACATAGTATTCCCTTTCATGTAATAGACAGATTTTTTTTATACTACATATATTAGAACTTTTTTTAAACTAATGCTCAGG